GTGGCACCTTCTGTGACTAACACACTTTATTAGTAGGAAGGCTTCATCTCATAAAAGCTTATGCTTTATATAAAAAAGCTCCTGATTTTAAACAAGAAGGATGCATCTGATTGGTCAGATAAACAGATCTATTTGCCAGTTGATAGGTTATAAGTATACATACACACATATGCAATTTGGGTTTGTGAAAGTGTGTGCAATGTAAAAAAATAACATAAAAGTCAACTCTTGATTTCTATTTTGAACTTTATCTACCGTAATTAAATTTACATGAAGATGATCAAACACTAGAAAAGAAAGCACACACTACTGTTACTACAAACAAGTACGCTAAGAAAAAAATATGTTGGCGTATTTGTTCAGTATGTTCTGGCAGTAGATGGCCAGTATCCCAGGTAGACTGGTGAGATAATTTCATGAGGTAAATTTTGATAGTCACCAGTCAGAATTGCTTCACAAGGGATTATACAAATTAGCGAAGGGCAAAATATTGAAAAGCTTCCTGTTTTAACCTGTATCATATACTAAACTTCTTTAAAAATGACATTCAAAAAGACGAGGAGATATTATCCTCAGGTCCTGTTTTCCTATAAGCATTTGAAAGACAAACGAATAATAGACTACAAGGATCTTTGGTCTGATCCAACAGGAACTCATCTTCTGTTTTTCCTTATATAGAGAAATATAAAAATAAACAAGGATGTATCACGCTTTAGAATCTATCTGATGTTAGAACAATGCCTAATAAAATTATATTGCTTTCGGCTAGGATAGGACTGACAGGAGAACAGAACAATGATAGTGGAATCTTTCTTCATCCCTTTGAAGTCACCTATATTTCATTCTCAACATTATCCCTTTTGCTTTGGTTTCAGCTGTTCTTCCATTCAGTAACCTTTATTTGTGTATAGAGATTTAAAGACATTTCTCCACAGCTAGCAAGAGAAATCCCTTTGGGGGATTTTGAGGCTCATGTTTGAGAAGAGTGAAATGGCTCTAAGGGAATATATTGGGGGGGGAAATAACCTTGGAAATGGGAAAAGAAACTAACACATCCTTTGTAGCAGCTGCCTTGTTATTAACTTCTGGAGCATACCTGGCATATCCTTTTAAAAAATCTAGCAATGTTCATCCCTAAGTGCATTACAAACTTTACATTTATTCCTAGTTTCCTACGTGTTGTTTCAGTGGCAACCAGACAAGGGAGTTCACTTGGATTGCCTTGACAACATAACAGATTTTCTCCCTTTTTAATTTTACTTGTAGCCAAACCCCTCTCTTCTTAGCCTTCTCCATATATCTATCTGTTCTTTGTATATGTATAAAGAATAAAACTGGGGCAAGGCATTGTATCATGGGTATATCATGCTCAAGGCTGATCTTGAAATCTCGATCTGTTAGACGGGTTGACTTCCTGAAGTATCATTATGGTTTCGTAGCACTTTTCTGCCATTTCAGCAACTAGGACATTTTCCAGCCAGGTTCCTCTGATAAAATGGTAGTTCATGGTGGCAAATCTAAGGTGACCAGATTTTAACATTGGTAAAGAGGGACACCATTGTGGGCGTGGCTTATTTTGTGGGTGTGGCTTGGAGGTCATGTGACTGGGTGGGCGTGGTTAGCTGGTCATGTGATCGGGTGGCCATGGCTATGTGTATAGGGACTACTCAGAGGGCTGAAAAAAGTCATTTCTGACAGGTCCTCGCACTTTTGACTGGTCCTCACACTTATGACCATCCTCACATTTATGCCCGTGCAGCATTCTTAACAACCATGTCACTCATTTCACAACTGCTTCTCTTCACCATGGTGATAAGATAGGGCAAAAAACGTAAAATGTGAGGACAGTCGTAAGTTCGAGGGCTGGTCAAAAGTGCGAGGACCAGTCAAAAATAACTTTTTTAGCTCTCTGAGTAGTCCATATGCACAAAAGGACTAACCAGAGGGCTGAAAAAAGTCATTTCTGACAGGTCCTTGCACTTTTGACTGGTCCTCACACTTATGACCATCCTCACATTTATGCCTGTGCAGCATTATTAACAACCATGTCACTCATTTCACAACTGCTTCTCTTCACCATGATGACAAGATAGGGCAAAAATGTAAAATGTGAGGACAGTCGTAAGTTCGAGGACTGGTCAAAAGTGTGAGGACCAGTCAAAAATAACTTTTTCAGCCCTCTGAGTAGTCCATATGCATTAAAGGATTACAGCAATAGAGAGGGATGAAGGAATGGAAATTAGAGTAGGAGTGAGGGTAAGAGAGGGAGGAAGAGAGGAGGAGAAGGAGAAAGAAAGAGGAAGTAGGGAGGAGAAGAAGAGGGTGGGGGGAAGAGAAAGTAAGAAGGAAAGAAAAGAGAGAGGTGGTAGGTTTGAGGAGAAAGATTGCTGTACAATAAAAAAGATGAAAGGGAAGAAAGCCAACCCCAAACAAATATAAAGATATTAAGATAAAGAATTAATTATTAAACTTTAAAGAATAAAAGAGAACAAATATGAATAAATAGCAATAATTAGAAACACACATACAAACATACAATGTATTTTCTTTGAACAGAATATTTGGCTGGTTCACAAATTTAAATAGTGTTTAGTCATTTCAATTAAATTTACAATTTCTATATTTCCTTTTTGCCATATTTATTCCTCATCTATTTTTTTTTAAAAAAAACAATATTACCCTTCACCCTCATCTCTAATCTTAATCAAATTCAATTTTTCCCTTCTATTCTATATTATACCCCTTCCCATTGTCATCTATTTTTATATCCATCCTCACATTGGTTAATTATGTAATACAGTTGTTTAATACAAATTCAACATTTTAATATAAAACAATTAGTTATATAACTATCTTTTTTGTATATTAATCAATATGAACATGAATATTCCAATTATTTCCATGCAATCCAATTTCTTACAAATCAATTAATTATATTTACCAATAATAATAAACCAAATAATTTCCCCATATATTCCTCCAAACCACAACTTAACCATTTCTGCTTTCAACACAATATACAATTAATAGTATCTCAATTATTACAATTCCCTAGTTAAATAGAGCTTTTTTCTTTTGTGTTTTAAAATCTTGAACTCTCTTCCTAAATTTCCCATTGTTTGCAGTTTTGCACCTACCTTTTTTGGTGAGGAAAAAGAAAAAGAAATCTCTCTCTGCCTCATTTTGTCACGTTGCAGCAAAGACCCTGCTTTTGCTTTCGCTTTTTCAGCATAGCTAGAGGGAAAAAAATCTGCTCCAGGAACTCTTTACATTAATCACCTGTAGGGCGGCCCTTTGAAGCCCCGCGGCAAGAGTTTAAACAGTTTTTTTCCCCTCTAGCCATCAACTGGGACTCAGGAGGCAGCCGGGACTCAGGAGGCAGAATGAAAAATCGGGACTTTTTTAAAACGCTGCGGGACGTGGGACAAATTGCTAAAAATCGGGACTGTCCCGCCAAAAGCGGGACATCTAGTCACCTTAGGCAAATCTGTTCTTTTTGCCACAAAACCCAGTTACCAACTTTCAGTTCTTTCTAATTCTTTGAATTCTTCTAATTCTCAGTTCTTTCCATTCTAATTCACCTATCCTTTACTGTCTGACCTTTTCATAACTAATTTCGAACCCTTCTCCCTTCCCTTTAACCAATCTAGTTTATACCTCACTAATTCTAGTCATAGTTTTCTATACTGAAATTGTAAGTTTGAAACTTTATTGCCATAGCTTCTGTAAATAAGATAGCCCCTCTATGTCATGCCCATTTTAGAGTAGCAAAGATAGACCTTTGGCCTAGCCCCCTCCTCATAACTCTTAGAACACCACATTAGAACATAGAATCAAAGACTGAAAAGAACCTCAGAGGTCTTCTAGTCTAATCCCCTGCTCAAGGCAGGAGGCCTTATACCAGTGATGACTAACCTTTTTGCCATCACGTGCCTGGAGGGGAAGAGGGGTGTGTGTCACACATGTGTATGCCCACACCCATAATTCTATGCACCATGCCCCCGCCATTCTCCCCGCTCCTGGCTGGCGATGGTCTGGTAGGCCTGTTTTTCCTCTTACCTGGCTCCAGAGCCTCTCTAGGAGTCTGGGGAGGGCAAAAATGGCCTTCGCCACTCACTCCGGATGCCAGAAATGGCCCATTTGCCAACTTCCGGTGGGACCAGAAGGCCCATTTTTTGCTGTCCCCAGCCTCCAGGGCCTCTCTAGGAGTCTGGGGAGGGTAAAAACGGCCTTCCCTACTGCCCCTGGAGGTCCTCCAGATGCCAGAAATGGCCCATTTGCCAACTTCCGGGGACTGGAAATTGGCAAACGGCCATTTTCGGCCTCCGGAGGATGTCCGGGGGGGTGGAGAAGGCCGTTTTTACCCTCCCCAGACTCCCAGAGAGGTCTGTAGCCAGATGAGAGAGAAAAATGGGCCTTCTCCACCCCCCACCCCCCGAGATCCTCCAGAGGCAAGAAATAGCCTGTTTTCCTACTTCTGGTTGGCCCAGAAGGTCCAAAAATCAGCTGGCTGGCACACACATGCACGCCTAAGCTCAGCTTGCATGCCCACTGATATGGCTACGTGTGCCACCTGTGGTACGCATGCCATAGGTTTGCCATCACGGCCTTATACCATCTCGGTCGAATTATTTTCCAGTCTATTTTTGAAAACCTATTTTTGATGGAGCACTCACAATGTTTGGAAGCAAGCTATTCCACTGATTAATTGTTCTCCCTGTCAGAAAATTTCTCCTTTATTTCTAGGTTGGCTCTCTCTTTAACAAGCTTGTACCCATTACTTCTTGTCCTGCCCTCTGGTGCTTTGGAGAACAAGTCAATCTCCTCTTCTCTGCGACAGCCCTTCAAGACAGTTATCAAGTCCCCCACAATTCTTCTCTTTGATAAGCTAGACATACCTGGTTTCCATCAAATGATTTACCCTCCAGAATCATTATCATCTTTGTTGCTTTTCTCTGCATACTTTCTAGGGTCTCAGGACAGTAGTGGGTTCCACTTACCTTCGCTACTGGTTCAGAACTGAGAACCTTCTGCGCATGCACAGAGTGTCCGTGATGACGTCTGGGCGGGTGAGTGGA